TATTAGTGTTGCACTTCACCACTACATTGAAGTACAAATACATTACCAACCCTCTAGTCAGACAATGTGCAACAAGCTGAAGCTGCCAAGGTTTGCTGCTGAAGGAAGGGATTCACCTGAGTTCACGGCCTGAGTATTTTTTAAAAACCAACTAGAGATGGTCACGCCACAATTAGGTTTGGCTGAGGGTCGTCCACAATTCTTCATACATCCAGCTTCTAACCCACTAAATCTCTCTTGACACATTGTGCTACTGAGATAAATTAATTAAAACCTTAAAAGAACGAGCGCTAAACTGTCACGAGTGTAACGGAAAGGGCTAGGAACAGCAAAAAGGCAGCGCTGAATGTTGGATGCTGGATCATCTACTTCGAGCAGTTTGTCCAGGTTTATGACAGATGCGTGTTTTGCTCTCTGCTCCTTAAAATAGGCCCTAAATGACACTAGCTGACCAGGAAAGCTGGAGTCAATATCCCGACTATAGTGATCAATTCATGGATGGGCCACTTCATATAGTTCCTCGTCCTTAGCATTTGTGCATTCGAAAATCTTGCCTTAAGGCTGATCAAAAATATGAACTGAAATTTAATAACGGCTTTTTTAAGCGCATCTGCTTCAATTTATTCATCCCTTTCCCTTTTGTCAAGATCTTTAACGACATCTCCATACCTGTATTTTAATGCAACAAGAGCATTGTAGTCAGAGGACCAGCCAGTTGGGCAAAGGCCTTTTAAGGTTAGGTCCCTGCTCTCTGGGCTCATCAAATCATCAAACTATGCCCATCTCTTAACACTGAGGAAAAACGTGTGCAGCTTTTCAACAATGTCATAAAACTGTCTGACCTCTGGGATGTTTTTAACAGGATCGTTTGGTGCCAAATTAATATTATGAGCTGCACAGCGCACAAACAAAGCAAGGTGCTCCCACTCCGCTATTCTAGCTTGAACAACGGAATAAACTCATATTTGTTGCACCGTCATGCCGGATGCCGTGGGCAGGGGTAAGATCTAAAGTATTTTCTTAAATGAAGCTCAGAATTCTGCCCTCCAGTTCAGAAACAGATGAATTTACAGTGAGTTTAGATCCAAGAAAAGCTTCAATTATCCTAATATGTGTAGCGACACCCATCGCGTCCCTGTCAATTGCAAAATACCTGCACACCTGGGTCACATGATCTCACTCTGCTACATCTTGAGTGGCGTATAGTAACGGAATAAAACAGGGGCGTGTTTATTTCATGGACTATGTCGCACTTGACAATATATGCAACCCAGGATGGGGCACCACTCATATATCGTTCACTCACACAAGCATGTCTATGGACAGTTTGGTAACTCCAGTCAGCCTGTGGGGGGGAAACTGGAGTACCCAGAGGAAACCCCACAATCACACCAGGAGAACATGCAAATTTCATACACATGTGATCCTGGCGGAGACTCAAACCCTGGCGCTAGAGGTGTGAGGCACCAGTGCCAACCACCACACCGTGGCATTCAAGTAATTATTTTATTAAAATATATTTTTGGCCCCCTAAGATGTCTTAAGGCTTCATTTGAGAAGTGTCACTCCCATTTCCTATGGCTGCTCACCATTGGCCTTTTTTACAAGGAAGCAACATCAAATTTTGAGCCCATTTTTATATTGTCAACAAATATGTTCATTAAATTTGATTATTTTGGTGTGCTTTTATTAATTTTCTAATTATTTTTCTTTTTTTACATTAGAATATGTCTGGTGTGACAATCATGTAACATATTTCACCACTGAAATAGAATTGATATTGCAGTTATCGACAGGCTGTGCTTTTCTCACGTAGAGGCTGGGAAGGAGCCAACAAAGTGTTACTTATAGTTTGTTTATTAATCCTGGAATAACAAAGGGTTTTGGGAAACACTCGCAGACTTCACTCATTCTTCACTTACGTGGTTTGTTCTTGTTCATTATCTGCCAAGATCGATTACTTTCGGGGAGCCCAGACCTGGTGAGTAGGTGAGATATTGTGTGGCACAGAGACGTGTGAGGGGAACTAATTTATTTTTTTTTAGAAGCAATTTAAAGCAATTATAAGCAATTTTTTAAAGCCTACTGCTGAAAAGCATTAGTTTGACTGAGTTTCGCTCTGGGTTGCATTACATCTCCCAAGAACTTGTGTAGACACCAGAATCACATCTTACACATGTCCACAGCACACTGTACGGCAGTGTGTGTTCTTTGGTGTGTGGTGTTATATCTCTCCTCAGCCACGGATGGGAATTCAACACTGGAATAAGCAGGTATTGTTGTAGTTTTTCCTTTCCTGCAAAATCAGGAGTCAGGAGCCTCTTGTGCAGATTCAGATATTCAGATTCAGTCTTTATTGCATCCACGTAGGTTACAACCAAGGCTGGGCACTCTGCAGAAGTGTGTCTGATGCTTGCTTACTCTAATTCTCGTACACTTTTCTTATCTCTTACCGACATTTTTGTCACAGGGGACGTCCCTAGCATCATCTCTCCTTGACCAGTCACCACCGTTATGTTCTTCCTTATCACCTTTCTGGGCCAAATACCATCAATGTGCTTCCCCTTCTGGGGCTCAGGTGTCTCTCGCCCCAAATGTGTCTCTACCATTATTCCCAGTATTTTGGGGTCCAATTACTTCTCCACCCCTATATGATAGGGCTGCCAATCATTAGTTATTGGTCAAGACTTCCAGAAAACACAATCCTAGCAAGATTTTTTTCTATACTCTTGGCCAGAAGCCTAGAACAGTTCAAGGTCACTATCATAGAGACCCAAGTGAGGAGCCCAGAACAACCATGAGAACCCGGGTATTTCTTCAACAGTAGTTAAGATTAGATTTATTTTTTTCCCCCACGCTAGAACGCAGTAACTTGTAAGCCATTGCTGTACAAGCAATTTCTTGGAGCCCCTGAATTGTTGGACAGAAATCATTGGTGACACTCCACAGCGGTGCAGTTATTGCCATTGATTCACGAACAGGCTTAGCCATGCAATATCGGCCACAGTTCTTTTTTTTTTGTTTTTTTGCATGAAACAAACCTTAACCTTGTCTGATTATCTGATCTATGGATCCTAATGGTGATTGCCTTTGAATTGATTTTATTGCTCTGCCTTCATATTTTTGTGATTTTATAGTATTTCACCCAATGTTGTAACTGCATGCAGCAGCCTGTGTTCTTCTATCAGGCCAGTTCTAACATGGGGTATCCATTTAAAGGGGTATAGTTTGTTGGTTAGCAGTGTAGACTATTGCAAATCCATTAGTGTGGCATTCATTAGTTGGAAGCATACATCTATAATTCACTGTGTATGTCTAAATATTGTGACACTGCAGGACTGGTCAGCAAAGACTTAAATATGCAGGTTACCCAGCATGCCTTCCTCCACACCGCCAGTGTGTGTTAAATGGTCATTTAATATGTGTGCATTTTCATTGTAAAAAGTAAGTGTTATAATCATTGAATGTTTCACAGTGGAGTATATGTCTGCTAGTTAGTGTCTGACCCAAATGTGATTGTTGTTTTCCTTGTCTGTGACACTGCTGGTTGCCACTGGAATTTGTTTTCAAAGTTTCGTATTTTTAATTCACAACAATGTCATGGTGTTTTAGTTTCTAATTTTGGGCTTATCTGTTACAGTTTGATGCCAATTCTAAAATCAAACAGTCACACGCCAATTTAAACCTCTTAAATCTTCTGATTTAAAAAAAAAATAATGGTTAACATTTGGCTCTGGGGACCGAGTTGCATAAGCGGGAACTACATTTTGATTGGTCCGTAAGGGATTGCGCAAAGTGTCTGGGAATGTTCACGTCGCAATAAAAAGCGGTGCGGCAGTCAAACTAACCATCCTGGAAATTGCAGATTTTCTGTATTAAAATTTGCTCAACAACACTGAGAAGATGAATGTAAGTATATATCTATATATTAGATTTTCGATACCTGCCTTTCCAAATTAAGTCTGTCATAGAAATGATTTTGTGGGAATGGATTAAAACTAACCCAGCTGGATTTGAGCTAGTTATCCTCTCAAATAATTATTTAAATACAAACTAAATATCAGTTTAACAGAAGCCTTAAATTCTACTATGACCAGTCTGATAATGTGACTCACTCAGTGCTGGTGAGTCATAGCTGAATTTGATCAACAGTTTTGCACCACAGAAATTCCTGTGTTGTTACTGTAAGTTAGTTTGTTATCAACATGGCACATATGGATAATTTGTATACATTTACATCAGCCTACTTTTACTGGAAATTAAATTTTAATTTAACTTTAAACAGGCCTGAGCAGTATCCGTAGCTGCTGGCTACTACTGAACATGTCTTGTGGCGCCTGGCATCAGGGGCGCAGATGGTGCTGGACGCACGTCCCCCCCAGTTATATAGAGACTCTGATCCATCCCCCCACCCCCCAAAACCATGTAGACCATCACAAAGTGCTCATAAGCCTAACATGTGTTTGCTGCAGGTAGGAGTCCGCTCGCACGCGCCGCATCCCCGTGCCACACACACACACACGCACGCAGAAATTACGAGAGGAAACAAATGAACAAATGTATCCACGCAAGAGATATGGGATGAGTTCTGTGGAACGCCATACTGCTCAAAATGGAATAAATATAACTAAGTAAATCAACGCAGAAATAGTTCAATAATTAATCATGCGTCCTTTAATGTAGTAAATAATTCCATAAAAATGTACTATATTTCATAACGTTTAACTTATGCACATACAATATTTCAATTGTATTCATAAATGTGATTTTCATTAGACAGCCATTGTTAACAATATTACTTTGCATAATGCAAGTATGATTAATTAATTCTAATTATATTTCACAGTAAAGTTCACATTTACGTATTCCTGAATGACGGTCTTCCGAACCAGCTTTTTATTTCATGCTTCCTTTCGTGATAATGGTGCGCTCTGTCAATCACTTTGAGGGGGGTTTGGGATCGAGTTTGCGATTGGATCAAGTGACTGAAGTCAGAATCAGTTGTATCACAGAAACATCAAACTTATGGAACGCCTGTAGGTCTTCACCAGGTTTGCACACACTGTAGCTGGTATTTTGGCCCATTCTTCCATGCCGATCTTCTCTAGAGCTGTGATGTTTTGGGGCTGTCGCTGGGCAACACGGACTTTCAACTCCCTCCACAGATTCTCTATTGGATTGAGGTCCGGAGACTGACTAGGCCACTTCAGAACCTTGAAATGCTTTTTACGTAGCCAATCCTTTGTTGCCCGGCCGGTGTGTTTAATGTTTCCACCCCCATGCTTCAGTGGGTATGGTGTTCTTGGGATGCAACTCAGCATTCTTCCCCCTCCAAACACGGCGAGTGGCGTTTATACCAGAGACTTCTATTTTGGTCTCATCTGACCACATGACATTCTCCAAGTCCTCCTCTGGATCATCCAGATGGTCTCTGGCAAACTTTAGACGGCCTGGACATGCGCTGCCTTAAGCAGGGGGACCTTTCGAGCGCTGCAGGATTTTAATCCATGAAGACGTAGTGTGTTACTAATAGTAACCTTTGTTACTGTGGTCTCAGCCCTCTTCAGATCATTGACCAGTTCCCCCCATGTAGTTCTGGGCTGTTTCCTCACCGTTCTCAAGATCATTTTTACCCCACGAGGTGAGATCTTGCACGGAGCCCCAGGTCGAGGGAGATTGTCAGTGATCTTGTATTTATTCCATTTTCTAATAATTGCTCCAACAGTTGATCTCTTCTCACCAAGCTGCTTGCCTATTGTAGATTGGCTGATCCCAGTCTTGTGCAGGTGTACAGTCTTGTTCCTGGTGTCCTTAGACAGCTCTCTGGTCTTGGCCATGGTGGAGGTTGGAGTCTGACTGTTTGAAGGTGTGGACAGGTGTCTTTTATACAGATAATGAGTTCAAACAGGTGTCATTAATACAGGTAACGAGTGGAGGATAGAAGAGCTTCTTAAAGAAGAAGTAACAGGTCTGTGAGGGCCAGAATTCTTTCCTGTTTATAGGTGCTAAATACTTATTTTCTGCACCATTATACAAATAAATTCTTTAAAAATCATACAATGTGATTTTCTGGATTTTTTTTACATTCTGTCTCTCACAGTTAAAGTGTAACTATGATGAAAATTACAGACCTCTCTCATCTTTTTAAGTGGGACAACTTGCACAATCGGTGGCTGCCAAATACTTTTTTGCCCCACTGTACATGATCTACATTCTAGTTCACACCAATCTGTGTCTGGGGCTTGGACCCAAAATGCTATTTTCTGAATATTTACTACCCAGTAGTAGCATCTAAGGTTAGGTAGGGCCAGCCCACCTTCTGTCCTTTGTTGCTGAAGATATTCTTTCCTTATTCTAGGAGTGTGACTGCTCCATTTAAATCTTGGTATTAATTTATCTAACCCTTGGAAAAAGGATTTGGATAGGGTGATCAGAAGGCACTGAAACAAAAACAATAATCTCGGCAGGACATTCATTTTGATACAGTTTACTCTTCCTGCTAATGTCAGGTGTAAGATATTCCATTTTTGGAAATCAGATTTAAGACGGGTAATGAGTGGAATAAAATTTCCTCCAAAAAGATCTTTAAATTCACATGTAATATTAACTCCAAAATATTTAAAACCGCTTTTTGACATATGGAACGGAAGGTTATGGTCTGGGATACATAGACCGCAAGTTAACTGGTAAACATTCACTCTTTGATAGGTTAAGTTTATAGCCCGAGATTAAACCAAATGTTTTTAACTGTGTAACGACTTTGTTAATACATGAAAGAGGGTCTGAAATATAGAGTAACACATCTGCATAAAGTGATAGCTTATGCCCTATCTGTTTACTCCTTGTATCGTTGGTGTAGCTTTTAGGGCCAGAGATAATGGTTCTATTGCCAGTATAAATAAAACTGGGCTATGTGGGCAACCCTGTCTCGTACCCCAAGATGAAGGAAAAGATGCTTTTGGAGAAGAATAAAGGAGCTGGATCCACTGCTGATATGCATTTTTGATGAAAACACATTTTTATTCTGTTGGACTGATGGTGATATTCTCGTATCATTAATACATTATAATTAGCAAGACGCTTCAATAACTATTTCTGAAATGGTCTTGAACATTATATACCAGACTTCTTTGCTCACTATCATATGTCAGATTCAAAAACGGTAAAGTCAGGATAGTGATAATTAACCAGTGCTCCCTCACTACGTACTAGCGAACATAACATGCAGCTAGAAAAGCTGGAAAATTAAATTTCACAGTCCATTTTAATCTAGGCTTGTTGGGCCTGTCATAATACTACTGTACGTACAACTAAATACTCTAGATAACTTCTGGGTTGGCTGAGTGGGCAGCACTACAACCTCATGTGTCAAGGACTGGTGGTTTGAATCCTGCTTTGTATGTCAGCAGTTTGCATGTTGTCCGTCTTTCACGTGGGTGAAAGACAGACAACCCTACACTGAACTGTCACTCAGAGCTACCTCCCCCCCCCCCCAGGTTCACCATCAATATTGGCCATGGGGAGGGAGACATTGCCCTAAACTTCAGTGTCAAGTTTGACAGTAAAAGGGTCGTCATGAAGACCCTGCAGGGTGGCAGCGGGAGCCATGAGAAGGCGTTGGATTCCTTCCCCTTTGAGAAGGGGCAGGTGTTCAAGGTGAGGCCGTCTGTGTTTGTGTCACCAAGGTACCAAGTTCCATTCCTCCGGGTTTCACGTTTTGTTGTCACATGTATTTGGAAGAACATAGTAAAATTCTTCTGCCACAGTTGCGGGGGATGGGATGGGTGCATGGAGGGGATTGGACAACAGTGTAATACTGGTCAAACAGCAGGAACGTGTGGGGGTGGGGGCTGGGGGTGCCTGAGCCCTGAACTATTTAATGTGAATTCGTGCATGAATTTTAAAGGTACTGAGTCCCTCTTTTTAACCTTCGAGCACCTGCTGCTTAAAAAGTCTCTGCACAACCCAGATAAACAGCAATCTAATTAAGATCAAGACATAAGCAATCTCATAAGGAACTCCATCACTTGTTTGTTTAAAGACTAAATTATTTTAATCATTAATGATAATAATTTAGCTTAATGCACCTCACTCATTCATAGAACCATTGTTTAATGAGTTCACTTGTCATGAAAGAAACTCGTTAAATTCTTGCCAATTCATGTTGTCATGGTGGTGATAACATACCATTGCTGTTTTTCTTTTTAATCCGCTTCATACATTGGGGTGTATACCTGGCTTTAACCTGTGGTTCTTTACAGAATATAGTAATATTGCATTTCAAAAAATAGGCAAAAAATAATCTTTAAAGATAACAGAATAGCATTTTGTGGATATCTAACTATTCGTCGACGAAAAAACGGACCTGTTCAATCATTGCAGCTTCGTGTTATCATTGTGACCTCTAGTGGTTAAAATATAGCATTGCATCGTATTCCCATGTATCCTCTTGTGCAGTACACCTATAACCTTACCGCAGTGTAATTGGCACCTAGAAAAGCTTTGATGAACTAGAATACCGGGAATCAATTTCCAGTATTTCTTACATGGATAATTATAATTACTTCCATCCAAAAATAACTACTTATCGAATGATTAGGGATGAACGGGTTTCTGTGAATGGAAGACACGTCAGTCAGTGTTCACAGTCGATTGAAGGAATATTGAAAAATAAATGTCACATCGGGAAACTCTTACAGGACTCTTATAGGACTTTTTGTTTTCAATACATCAGCAATAGAAACCAAGTTAAATAGGTGGCATGCCCATCGATGGTGTTTGGCAACTGATGTTTAAAGCCATTGTCTTGGACCAGTAGAGAACAAACATAAATTAACTTAGTGTCTTCACTTTCCTCTTCACCATCCTCATCATCTTGGCATTGTTCTTTAGGGGTTTCTGTAAGTGCTTCACTCTCATTTCCCAGGATACTGTCGCTCACATCCCACAACAGCTTGGATTCTTTTAACAAATTGGACCCATTTTCTTTGGTTGTTCCTTCTATTTTTTCTCTCACATTGAAGTCTCAGTAGATATCACTGAAGGCTCCTACAACAACAGCAAAGGTGTGTGGACCTTTTAATTGTCTGCAGGCAAGGGCTGCAGAGCACCAGTACAGGCTCTCTGGGTCAATGCAAGGGGCTGTGACTCCTACAAAACTGCGTCTCCTCCATGACTAAGTCTGTGGTTGGAGCAACGTGCTCTGCTTTGCCCACTGCCTCTACTTTAATGGCCAGTCTCAGCGAGGCTTGACCATAGACTGAGCCTTGAAGTGATGGCAAAATTTAGTTGGAGATCCTGAATTAAGTTTTTGAATACTGTTTGCTCCACAGTGCTAAATGGAAGAAAACCTTCAACCAAATATTTGTTTGTTTGTTTATTTCAAACATATTCACTTTCACCATATTTACATATTTCCAGTCTTTTATGTTTATGTTTAGCCCTACCCCCATCCAATTATTCACAGCTCACTTTAAACACTTTTTGTCAAATAAAGAATAGACAACACAACAAAACAACACTATTACTTCCATATAAAGACTGAACACACCAAATGACACATTTCTTTCAAAAGGTAAGTTTTGGCATTACCATTACCATTACCATTACCATTACCATTACCATCCCGAGGTAAACTGCTCTTCTTCTTCCTCGTATTTATTTAGAATTTATTTATTTAGAATTTGTACTTTATATGTGTCACGTCCAGCTCCGTCCGATCCTCGTGTGTGCCACGCCCACCTCGTTACCTCCTGTTTTCTGCTTGATTGTTCTCACCTGTTGCTCGTTACACTCAGCCTGTCTTGTGTATATAGTCGTTGTCTCGGTTAATATCCCCCAGATTTGTCATTGGTGTTTGTAAGTGTGCTTCCCCCGGTCCTGTCTACGAATAAAAACCCCGTTTATTCGACTTCCTGGCTTGGCTTCCCTGCTCACCTGCACGCCATTACGTGACAATATGTTCTTTTAAACTGACATATTTTTACTTTGTTTTAATTCTTCTGTTAAACTGTTCCATAATTTAACCCCTGCTGTTTAAACATACTTTTTAATGTTGTTCTAACACAATGGATTTTTAAATTCGATTTCCCTCTTAAATTATATCCTCCCTCTCTCTCTGAAAACAATTCCATTATTTTATTTGGAAGTAAGTCATTTCTGGCTTTAAATATTATCTGTGCTGAATCAAATCTGAACATTTAATAGCTCCCATTTTTATATATATATTTTTATATCCCTACTTTATTAATTAATCTAATGGCCCTCTTCTGCATGATATTTATTCTTTGCAGATTATTTTATATGTGTTTCCCCACACCGCTACACAATATCTCAAATATGGTAAAAGTAATGTGCAATATAAGGTATATAGTGATTTCAGATTTAAGATATGCCTTGTTTTCCCCTGGATGGCCAGGCTCCGTGCCAGATTCCCCCGAACATATTTAATGTGTGGTTTCCAGCAGATTTTGTGGTCTAACATCACAGCAAGGAATTTAATTTTATTTACCCTTTCTATGTTTACATTATAAATACATATTTTACTTCCAAATTTCTCTTATATTCCAAATAACATAAATATAGTTTTATCTAAATTTAATGACAATTTATTTATATCAAACCATTTCTAACTTTATTTTCTTTGTGATCACTTCCACCCCAGAACAAAAAATACATCAATACATTCTGTTACTACTTCTACCAAGTCCATCAATGCCAAGGCTGTCGATCTGTTATTCATAAATCCATGCTGGCTGTCTGTCAAAAAATCATGCTTCTCAACAAAACTATCAAATCATTTCATAAATACTTTTTCTAATATTTTAGAGTACTTTTTTTGTTTGCTATACCTGTGCTTAGGCCCCCAAATGTAACATTTTTTTGTGCTTCTATACCTCTGACAAGAGGTTCTCTACCTTGCATTGCTTAAAATTCCTCTTCTTGGTTTGCCTGGCAGCTGACTGGCACAACATCTATGGCATTCCCCTGCCTAATACCAGGAACAGGGTCCAGCCCACAGCCCCCCTGTAAAACTTGAAGACATCACCAAAAAGACAACGCCGCCCAGGGTAACTGCATTTCCTCCTGCTGGACCAAACCATGGTGCACTCTTTCATTAGATGTTTATCACAGTGCCAGTGACTCATATGGTGAACATAGGTGCTCATCCCACTACCAACACCAATGTAACAACGTCTGCAGGAGCAGGCCATGGCAGGCCTCAAACCCCAGTCTCTCACGCCAAAGGCAGCAATATTAATCTAAGCTTTAGAAACATTACAATAGTATCAATAAGGAATCTAAGAGCAGTACTAGGCAATTTTTGAACAAAATTAAACAGCTAAATGTAGAAGAAAATTCCATCTTTATGCAAGTGCAACACAGTGAATGTGGGTCTGCTGGGAGATGCTGTATTTGCAGCAAATACCACCTAGAATTAACTGTATCAACAAATAAAACATGATGAATAGTAAATTTTAGTCTCTCTTTGTCTAACTCTCTCTCTCTCTCTCTCTCTCTCACACACACACACACAGATACATAGCATACGCTTATTTACATAGACTGACAGAGTACTCCAGCCATTCAAAACTCTCAAACCATTTTTCTGGAAGGACCTTCTTTTCAGTCCAAAGTTGGTGAGAGGACAATTTTCAAAACTGGTGTGTTTTGGTTCTGTTTTCTAAACTGTCTCTCTGCCATGCTATTCTAAATCCTCCTTTGGCCTAAAATACTGTAAGTACCTTTATGCTGAAATTCTATATCAATCATGTAGATAAACCTGAGAACAGAGTGATTTCCAAATCAAAGTGAAAGCATTTATCAAAAATGATCCTTTCTGTATATTAATGTTGCATTTCTGAATAACTTGATGGCTGACCCTGGGAAGGTTGCCTGTTTAAACTCTTAACGAATTCAATTTCAGCTACAGTGAGAAAATGTAGATCAAATTGACCTTGATTATGCTCTCCTCTTCATGTCATATTTACAGCAGTATTTCTCTCTCTCAGAAACATAAACATGTGCTCCCCTTTGCCACTGATCATCTTCTGCCTCATTTTCAGCATTATGTAAAGGATGTGGTAATACAGTCATTATAATAAATTTCTATTTTACATTTGTATATCACCGCAAAATGCTGAGCTCTACTGCCACCCTGTGTTGATTTTACGTATCACGTTTTACTCTACTGACCGCACTTATGTCTTATGATATTTAATATGTCGTAATAACAATATAAAGCAAAGAAAATTGTAAAAGAAATCCATTATATTATGGAAACCCACATTTTTTTAAATGTGTTTGTAAATTTAACATTATTCATCATGCTAAGCATGTATATGTTGCTCGATAGAAAATTCCCCTCATTCTTCGTAGTTCTGTCATCCAAGGAACATTAATACCATTACAGCGCATGTACATAGTTGCAGCTGATCTTGCATCAGCGGCGGTCCGGCATGCCACGTCATCACGCCCACACAAACAATGTTGTTTGCGACTTTCGGTAAATGTAGTGCGCATGCTGATCGTACGTACCACGAATGCATTAACATCCATGTAGAAGTTAACAATTAACATGTATGGAAAACAGCATTTACGCCCAAGGTCTAAAACAGACGCTAAGCACTGCTTTAAAAAGCGATGGGGAACTAAGCAGTGTGCGAAATACAGGGGGGTCCGACACCCCCAATTAACCCATGAGACCCCCTGAAGCCTCAAAAGCAAAATTTTAAGGGGGGTCTCAAGATAGGTATTGTGCAACAATAGGGAGATGGGGACCCCCCCGAATATTGACGGGTATTTCTCACACTGGAACTAAGTATTCGCTAAATAGGGTATACATATAGTAGACATGTGTGATATAAATATATTTTACGCCAAAGGGGGCGTGGAAATTCAAAATATTACTATTGACAGTAATAAGGCATTACAGTGTTGACCATAATACTTCATATGCTCCACCATCACAACTCCTCATAATCATTCTACCAATTCTACATAAAACATTAACAAAAATTTATATATATCTTGCTTCTGTTTGTTGTCAAACAGCATAAAGACTGTGGTTGGTTATAGTGTGCCATGATGCATTTGTAACAGTTCATTACAGCTGCAAGTAAAGCAAGGATACGTTCACATCTACAATGTGTTTATAGCTAGCTATAATATGTTTGAATCAGGTGTAAGTGACGCACCACAAAATTTACCCCCCTAAGGTTGGTCTGGGGTGGGACAAATCCAGGCTGAAACTCAGTCCCACTCCGGCCCTGGTTCACTGGTGCAGTCCATCCATCTTTTAACCACTTATCTAATACACTTTCGTTTATCTATTTCAGGTGGCACTGAATACTAGGCAGGGGAACACCTTAGAGGTAGTGCCAGTCAGTCACGCACTAGTGCCAGTCTATGACACACTATGGGCAATTTACAGATGACATTTCTTTGGCAAACAGAAAACAAAGTACTATTTCCTGCAATTATTTGTTCTCCTGTTTGCTGTATGGCAGAATGTCCCCATTCATCCACTCCCTGGCTTTGGATCTGTGCACTAATGACCATGTTTACTAAGCTCTCAAAATATGGAAATGAGTGTTATAATTACATGTATACATTTCCTCAGCAAGTGGTATGCAGCCTGTTACCTGAGGGTAGTCTAATGTTGCTGGTGTATACAGACCATGCTGTATATTATCATTCATTCGTCTTTGTTTGTTTCACTTATCCAGTAAATGTAGTCTGGAGCCTGTCCCAGGAAATGGATCACAAGGGACATGAAACACTTACTGATGAAGAAAACGAGGCTCTTTAGGTCTGGAGACAATAAAGAGATTCAAGAGGTGAAGGTGGAAATGAAGATGCAGCTTAGCAAGGGGACAAAGCACATCAGGGACAAGCTGGAGCACTAACTACAGTACAAGAGTGTGAAGGAGGTATGGATTGGGATGAGAACCATCATCGGCTACAGGCAGGCTGGATACATTGTGTTTGATGGGAGCGCAGACAGTGCTGAAGAGCTGAATCTGTTTTTCAGCACAATGCCTCTCACTGGTCAGTCTCCCCTTCCCTCCCTCAACACTTCCAGCCACAACTTGCCAGCTGGGGTGGGGGGTGTGGCTGCACAAGCCTGAGATCCTGCTCAGTTGTTGCCTACAAATAACCATAAGTGCTCCCTGCCATTATGTTCACATATTATGCAAACCAAGTCTTGCTAATTGAAATTTCTGACCATGGTGACAGAAAATAAACATAGCAAGATGATGAATTTTGAGCAATGCAAGGTAGAGGCCCTTCTGTCAGAGGTAGAGACATGAAAAGTGTTACATTTGGAGGCCTAAGCACAGGAATATCAAAAAAGAAAAAGTACGCTGAATGGCAGAATACTGAGGTTAAGTCCATCAGCTCTACCGAGTGCAAGGTACCAAAGAAGAAGGGGTCAGATCTGAAGATAGAGGTGGAAAAACAACTTGCTTAACAGGCCCACTGTGAATGTAACGGCTGTGGGACAACCCACGTCTTTGCCCTGAGGGTTTGAAACATAATTTGCATCTATATATTATAGGGGATGTTGTGCAAGAGTATTTGGGAGATACCGAACAGCGTTATTATATTTCTTGAGAACTTGCAGGAAAACAATAAAATGCATGTGCAATCATTCTTATAATAGGAGGAAATATGTTTCCAGCTTAAAAGCCACTACTCCAGCCAAAAAGGTGCGGACCTTGCTTATACTAGCTGCTTATGTTAAACTATTGAAAAGATTGTCAACAACCACCTTGTTTGGTACCTGGAGTCAAACCACCTCCTGAGTGACTCCCAGTGTGGAGTTAGACATGGCAGGAGTACACTTGACCATCTTGCTAGTTTGGAAGCCTATGCATGGAACACCTTTATTAAGAAAGACCATGTGAATCTATGGTAGAGAAGCCTTATGATATGGCATTGAAGCACAGCTTATTGAAGTATCTTCATCAGTTGGGTTTTAGGGGACTGTTGCCTGTCTTTCTATTGAGATTTTTATCTAACCGCTGCCTTAGCGATAGAGTGAACATTGCCCTCTCTGATGTTCATAAACAAGGCTTGGGAGTATTCCAGGGAAGCATTTTATCATTTACACTTTTTAGTGTGAAAATAGACAATATTTCAAGCGTGATTGGAGCTGGTGTTCCATGTAGCTTCTATGTCAATTATGTCTGCATTTCTACAGAAGGAATAACATGGATGCCGTTGAATGGAACCCTCACTTAATTATAAACAGGATGCACAGTTGGTCAGATGTTATTGGTTTCAGGTTCTTTAAGACAAAAAGCAGTCTGTACACACTAGTGTTGTAGTCAAGACCGCCTAAACCGAGACCAAGACATTACCGAGACCGGAGGGT